ACTTAAAAATGTAAAACAAAGTTATCAATACTTACAGCGTGATCATGGCCACTAATAATTAAATTAGGCATGGCATAGTATAAAATCTATTATTCGTAAGAAAGATGACAAAAATACCTCGGGGAAGTAATTTCCAAAGTAGGTGAAAAAAGGGTGATGGTGAATAAAAATTGAAAATGCATCATTAGATAAATTCATCTGAGGTTGCCTTTCGTCTTTCAAGACATACGGCTTCTGCAAAGATAACGCACAAAAATTTACCTTAAATATACTAATGTTTTCAAATGTATCACAAAATGCAGGCTTCCCAAAGAATGATTCATAAATTCGAATATTTTCTAATGTCAAAGGGTCACCCTCATCGCCCCCTAAATCGTTATCACCAGGAATTATGATAGTCTAAGGAATATTTTAAAAATAGATAACTACATAACAATCCGTGAGAAAAATATTCTTGAATCTTTTATAGGCAGCAGCAGGAAGTTCCTTGCTTAAATAACCCCTAGATTCAACGATATCTCCGAGGTGAATGAAGACTTGTGACCTAGTGAGACTCATTGCCACTCGAAAGTAATTCGATAAAAATCTTTAAGGTTAGACAAGTATAGAAAATGAGAGTTAGCATGAGAAAGAAAATCACGAGAATAAGGATAAGAACATCTAAAAGCGTTCAAGGTCTAGGCAAGCAAGAGCGATGTAATTTCAAAGAGAACAATGTTTAATTTAAGTGCTTGCCTATCAAGGTCCCATTTAGCAAAATAACCCCCTCGGGAAAGGTGGGAATCTGAAGCAAGCAGAATTTTGGTACCCCCATGAGGATTCCTAAAAAAACCTAACTGAGTAAGAATTACTCGCTAATAATTTTCCCCCAATATAGATTAGTAACGTATGGGATGTAAAGTTCAAAATATGATAAGGCAAGAGAGAATGATAGGACAGTGAGAAGAACTGCGAAGGGGCAAGCGAATATTCCAGCAAGCATTGGACATGAGCTAAAATACATGAGCAAGCATTTTGCTCGTAATAAATTTTTTTTATAAAATAAAGTCAACAATAATGTTTTAAAACAAAAAAAACATTTTTTTATTTTAATAAAGTTTTTAAATAAATGATATTTACTTTATTAATTATTTTAGCTATTTTTATATATCCTTTTGGCTGCTTGAACTTTGCCGGTTCTTTCTTCCGTTTGTTCGTTGTGCTTCTAAATATTGTTTCAGGTGCCTTATTTGGCCTGTAATCTGCTAAGCCTATTTCTTGCACCTAAATATTTTACTTGTATACCTGTCAAGACTTTTCTAATCATGCTTAATTGTATCCTATTATCTCATATTCTGCGTGATAACTTTCCTTTCTTTACGTTATAATTACAGCGCTTCCCGCATGACTTTGGCTTCACCTCTCGCTTCTCTCTTTTTATGGGGCTCCTCCGAAGATGGTCAGTTGGGTCTAGGTGGAATCGAGATTGGCCAAATCACAATGCCGACTCTTTTTAACCCAAAGGAGACACCTTCGAGCATTTTTGAGGCAGGAATATCTAAAGTTGCTTGTGGGTACAAGCATACGTTACTTTTAACAAAATATGGAGAGGTTTTTAGCTGTGGCTCAAATGAGTTCCGACAACTTGGACATGATTATTTAACTACCAAGTTTGAGCAAGTAAGTTTTTTGATTGACACCTGTTTCTGTCTTAACTCAACACAACTCAGGCTCTTTACATATACCTCTACCTCTGTAGCTATTGTTCCATTTTGTCTACTTTGCGGTAATTGCAATACATGAATATGCTTCTGCTCTTACACTTACCTTGTGGTTTATAACTACATTCCCATGTTCTTTTTTTTCTGCCATTTTGTTTACTAGCTTTACATTGATTTTTGCAAACTTTTTTATGCACCATAGTTATTTTAAGGGCCGTCGTATATTTTTCATTTAGTAATACCTTTTTGTGTCTTTCGGCCTATCAGGTGGCTGAGGTCAAGTATGTTCTGTCCCCTTACATCTTTGGGCTTTTAATAAAGTTTTTAACACCCGAAATCTAGTTTTCATATTTTTCAGAAAATTTATTTCTTATCTATTTTGGGATTTATTACTCATTTTTGAAGTATATTCGCACACTTGAACTCGTTGTTATAGGGCTCTAGCACTATTTAATATAAGAATTATTTTTTATCATAGTTGGTCCATTTGATTTTCACTTCATTGCTGCTCAAGGATTCAACCAATGGTAATGCTATTTATAAGTTGTTCGATTGATATCCTGGTATTGATTATATATCTAGTCTTTATATTTGATATAATTTAACTGAAAACTTCCTACGTGTATATTTACATACACGTTACTGGTCATGATCGCTACATAGTTATGCTAGACTAGGCTTTAATATAGCGTTTTCAAATGGCGCTTTTTCATATATTTTCTAGCAACTTTATATGATGGTCGCATTATTTGAATTTCTTAG